GGGGGAGGGCGAGAGAGGGCGGGGGAGGGTCTTCACAGAGAGTGAAAATATGAATTTTTCTTTTTTTTAACGTAATACAGTTATAGATGCAACATTAAACTCTCTTCACTCTGACAATGCCATAACAAGATCAGGTACTCGTCTGTCAGACAGGGGGCGCCGTATAGATGTGGGGAAACATGACTCTGACTCCTGAACCACAGGAGTCTGTGGTTTTTTTTCCTCTGACCTCAGAGTAAAACAGTGACAGTAGAACTTCTTCAACTCTGCCGTCAACAAAAGTCTGATTTGTGCTCGCAACTCTGCACACAGACAAACCGTTTTGAGACACAATCATCTGCTAGGGGGCGCTGTGGTCCATCTGGTCACCAGAACAGTTCCTCTCATATATATATGCGTGTATATATATGAAGTCAGGAACGTCGGCCGACTCTTGGACACCACACCTTCCATTAACGCACACACCATCTGTGCACCACTCCTCCTGGTGGACACCATGTGTCCCATTATCGCTGCGACCTCGTCCCCGTCTGAACATCTGCTGCACTGCAGCTCCTGCACACGCACACGCTCACTCACATCCTGCACAGATGTTCAGAGCGTCAACTCTACGTGTAGTTCACGTCTCACTTTTACTTTCAAAAACTTTATGAAAACACAGCAAACGCACCCCCACACTCACTCCCTACCGCCCCCCTCTGTCCACAAACGTTGTTGTACGAAATTAAATTGTCAAAGAAATGACAGAGAAAAAGACACTTTGATGGTAAAAAAAAAACAGTCGTGACCAGTGGAGAGTCTCTGCGGCCATTTTGACTTTTTGACTTTGTTTGTGTTCCTACCTCGGGGGTTGTTGAGGGCAGCTTCCGTCGCCTTCCTGCCCTCTCCGCAGTGGCTCTGGTCAAAGGGAAGACACTGCTCCCCCGTGCCGGCGACCACCTCCAGGTTCCGTGACGGGTCTTTGGGCTGACCCAGGTTCCTCACCCGGTACACTCTGCGACTGCTCGTGTCCGACACGTAGAGAACTTCTCCTCTCGGGTCCATGGCCAGGTAGTACTTGTGGGCCGGGCTGGTGCTGGTCGGGGG